CTCCTGCACTAACCAAACTTTAGAATTGTTTTTAGGCATCCTTTGTGTTTTCGCTAAAATATCAGTCATATCGATATTATAGTTATCGTTCAACAATCGATTAACTAAGTCGATATTAGTGGAAATCATTTGCAACCGTTAGGTTCCGGGCAGCTAAACTCAAGATGGGAGTCACCTGAGAGTTATCGTAGACATGAGAAAGCTCTCGGCACATTGGATGCCCCATTTGCTCGTTTTTGATCAAATGCGCCATTCCATACATCAGCAGTTGCCATGGAAAAAATCCATGAAGATTCCTTTGAACTGCTTCAGCACCCTCCTTACAGGAGCATAGGGCCATTATCTTCGTAAACAACCACCTTAGAGTGCAGGACGGCGACTACTTTTGGCGGGGCTAAAAAAGTGGAAGCATCGCTGGGAGATATGTTTTGTGTTGATAAACAAAAATAACACATTTTTTTAAGCTATTGTATCATAGCCAGCCTAGAAACATTTCGGTTTGCCTTCGTATATTAAACGTGAAACTGTTGTTGTTGCAAAAGTGTTGCGTAAAACGCAAAAACAAATTGTGCGCAAAGTAAAAGTAAATTACAAATATTGTGCCAACAATCAATGGTTTTTGCATCTTATATTTATTTTGTTACAACATCCGATGCTTTAAGTAACTGTTGTTTGACTTTTTAATACGACTACAAAGTATATAGACTTATAACAAAATGTTTTTGTCATACAAGATGGTTATGAAGTAACAATTTATTGTGGTTTTGGTAATATAAACCCCATAACTAGGATTGTTAATAAAATATAGAATTATTTTTAACATAAAGACAAAAAACTTATGTTAAAATGACTGTTCGATATTTCTCCCAATATTTCGCTTTTAATGCATTGCAGCTGAAAAATGTTCTGCCCTATTTAACCGCTATATACATATGTATGTATATTTATAATTTAAAAACAAATTATTTTCTATTTTTGTTTCTTGACGCACTTATACTCGTATATATGGTTGGTTTTAGTTAATTAGCTTTAATTTGTTATAATTAGTAAAGTATTACTGATTCATGCTGGCGCTATTGTTAATATTCTCGTAAGATTGCTTTATAAAAGATGCTCTGTCTATTCTTAGTAGGTCGATTCATTTTTGAGATAAATAATAATAATAATTCCGTTCCGAAAATTTCATTTCGTTATAAACCATTAGGTATTTTGTATTTTTTATATATTTTTATTAATATGAATCAAGAATTTTGCATTTTATAATTTTTGTGGGGTTTTTAGGAAATATCTGTTTTATTATAGGAGTCTACTATATTTGAACTTTCAGTCAGTCAAGTGACTCAACAAATTTTATAAACACGAAAAGCGTGGCAGTATTGATTATGATTCAAACAATATTTAACTTTAATACAGATTAATTCACACTGTGTGGGAGGTCCACAATATGAGATTTCTTTAGACGCATCTAATTATCTAATAATTAGAGTGCCAGTAAGTTATCATGTCCAGGCAATACTTACAAGTATGTAAGTATTTTCGAGATGCAAAGGGTTAATTTATATTCAATTCTTTGTAAATTAGGAAGTTGGTTACAAATCTAGGAGCACCTGCAAGATTTCTTAAAATTGCAGATTGGTATATATGTATGTACATTGGTCCCTTGTCTAATATATTTTTAAAACGCAAATATTAATCATTTATTAGCCAGCAATAAATTGTTTAATATATTTTCAAAAATATCCAAAACCCCCAATTAAGTAGGCGCCAGCTGAGCTAGTTATTAGATGCTAACCCAATTTTTTTTTAAGTAAATGAGTTATAATTTCGAATCAACGAAGCGTACGATTTGCTTTTCGTCTGTCAATACAAGCGTACGTTCGCATGTACATATGTACACACACGTATACATATATATGTATTTATGTGTATATTTCAGTTTGCCCATGCTTGTCTATAACTCCGTACTCATATCGGTTAAATCATTGCAAACACAAACGACAATTAACGTTGTCTGCTGTCGACTAATGCCGCCTACACGCGACGCAATAATTTCGACACCACACACAAAAAGCCGAAATAAAATGAAATTGATGGAAAACACATACATACATACATACATACATACGTGTACATATTTGCTGAATAAGCTGGCTAAACAAAAAGTCAAAAGTAATAGCAACAACAAAAACAACAACAACAAATCACAAAACACCATGGCAACAACAATAAACAGAATCATCTCTAATATGTTTGGGGGCTGCTGCGTCGCAAATTGAAATTTTTCACTGAAATAGTAGTTGTGTTGCTGTTTATTTATTTTGCTTTGTTTTTATTTATTTATTTATATGCTTATATTGAAATTATTACTGCAATTTTTCGAGGGCGCCTCGTTGTTTAATGTTTTATCTGTTGGTGCTGCACAATTAAGAAAAGAGTGTGATTTATAAATACATACACATACTATACTATATTATATGTACATATCTATAATTGTACTGTGTATGCGTGTGGTTTATTTATTTTTTAAATGTGTAGTTTCTTTTTTATCAGCAACACGTGAGTCTCCGTTTTCAGCTGCCATTTGTGGGGGGCACTTAAAACGTTCCCATGTCATAGGAATTAAGCATACGTACTTGTATGTATGTAGATATATAATTTTTAACTGATAACTTTTTAGCACTTGCACACGTTATTGTTGTTGATGTTGCTGTTTTATGTTAACTGGGCAAGAACACGCGTTCATTAAAGCTTTTGGCTTGTAAAGAAGCCTATCATCGTCTGCTGCCTAAACGCTTGGCTGAAATTCCAAACTCGACACGAGCAGCGGTTTACAGTTAAGCTTTGAGCGTCTGCGGAGCAAATTCGAGCTTATCTATATACATAGTCTGTATGCATATTATAAATTATAATAACAAAATTGGGCTGTGTTTGTTGTGCTGTTGTTGTTTGCAAGGAGGTGGAGGTGGAGAAGCAGGCAGCTTTTACTTTTTTGCTGGCTTTTTTCTTCTTTTTTTTTCGTTGCTGTCGCCCTTCCTGTTAAGCAAATTAGTCATAATCAGGTTTCTATGTATATAGTACATAAGTGAATGTGTATGTACTTATATTATGGACACATGTACGAGTATATAGGGGCTTGGTGTTTTATTTATATCTCGATTTTTCCCAAGAAAAAGTAGTTCATACATCGCACTCGAACATAAGTACAGCACATAATTGTATTAATAAGGGCTTCAGCATAGCACGTACGTGCAGATTCAATTTTATATTGATTTACTCGTGGACTCTGATGCCATTTTCTTATAAACTCAAACAAATCGAATACGTACTACAAAAGCTTTCACGCATACAGATTTCCACGACTATAGTCCAGTGTTTTTTTTTTTTATTATTTCCTATTAAGTTGTCTGCGAAGTTGAAATCAGTGCAGAGTTTGTATGCTGTTTTGCTACTATCTAAGTATATTTAAAATGTACAGAAGTATATTAGGTTTGCGGGAGCTGAAAAATGTAGCAGGCAGAAGGAGGCGTGGCAGACCACACAAAGTATATGTATTCTTAATCAGCATGACGAGACGAGTCGATCTAGCCCTGCCTGTCTGCCTGTCCGTCCGTATGAACACCTGAATCTCAGAGACTATAAGAGATAGACACGCCAAATTTTGCACAAAGATGCCTTATGTGTGTACGCTATACGAGTTTGTTCTATTTTTTTGGTTCCCCCCACTTCCCCCCTATGGGGGTTCTTCGAATTTCGAAGTAACATTTTGCAAATACCCCCAAATGTGTCCGTATGCCAAGTTTCACTATGATGGGTAAAATCGATCTAACATTTTTTTTTTTAATTTTCTTAATTTTTTTATTTTGTATAATTATTGTACACATCATATGTAGTATTTCAAAGTCGGGACACCCGACTTTAGCTTTTGTACTTGTTTTAAATGTTTCTGACCATTTGATAATAAACTCGATTATTTAAAAATATAATTAGTGCTTAAAGGTTGTTGAGTTTCTAGAGGGATGGTTTCTTTTAATTAGTTAAAACAATCATCATCATCATCTAACAAGATGTGTTAGTTCGATTGTGAATTATTAAAAAAAGTTCGTTTCGATATATAAAATAATATATAATATATAAAACGGTTTCACTGTCTTCGCTATCGTTTAAACTTATTAAAGGATTTTAATATTCTTAGGTTATCAACTGTTCTGCGAGATTACTTTAATAAGTTCTTATACCAACTGATCAGTAGGAGAAACCTTTCATCTTTTTGATCGCCAATTGTTTTATTAGTAAATTGTCATAAAATTGATTTTTGTATCTTTGTATTGAGTTTAATCTGTCAACCGAGATGTAAACGATAAAAACAGTCAATTTTATAGCTTACTTTTAAAGCTGTCACTTGGTTTCTTATTTCTTTAAGCTGATCATTTGTAACTGTGGGATCACTATATTATAATGCTTTCATAGTTACTTGGCGGATTTTGCAAAACTTTCTTTCACTTTAAAGATAACATTTAAACACGTGGCTGTTTTCAGACGTTATTGATGGATTCGAACCGAATCGTATCTCTCTTCAAGATAGCTATCTTGACAACATACTACTTATAATATGGTGGTTGAAATCAATCGAAAAACTTATTATATCTACTACAAAAAAATAAAAATCTATCTCAAAAAAATTGCAAAATATATTGGAGGTTTTTTAAACAATACAAGAATTTCCATTAAATCGGTCTACTTCATTATTTTGTAGTTCATAACTAAATTTGCCTAAATCTGTAGTTTTACTTGGCATATAAAAAAAATTAATAATGCACAGACAGAAGTAATCTTAATTGCTGTTCCTGCTTTGCTTTTATTCTAATAAATTCAGTTGAAATACCACTTATTAGTAGTTATTATAAGAATGATACAACATCTATACATCATTGTGGATTCTTATTGTTAGAAATATTCTACATACAAGTACTTACAAATTTGATCTCTCTTTCTTTTTGTAGCCACCATGGATCCGAATCGACATCACGAATATCAGACGCATCATCAGACACATCAATTGCCACATCCGCCGCACCACCAGCAATCACATGCGCATCATCAGCAACCACTCCACCAGCCGGCTGGCAGCAGCAGCGGTGGTTACAATGCCGCCGAGCAGGAACGCTCGCGTGCCATATACCTGATGAATACAATTGGGCAAGCGGCATCTGCTCTGCCACCGGCAGGTGCTGCATTGATTGGTGGCAGTGGAAGCGGTGGCTTGGGAGATCCGCATTCACAGTACTACACCTCGAATAGAGATTTGCCAAGCAAGAAGTCGAGTACGACGCCGGCAACGTTGCTGGTGGAACACCAACACCAACAGCAACAACAACAGCAGCATCAGCAGCAGCAGCAACAACCACCATCACAGAGCTGGCAGTACAAAACGCAAAACGCTATCCCAGGACCCGCTCCACGTCACCACAGCAGTCCCATGTATATACACACGACAACAAATAATGCCACAGGCTACTGGCCGCCAGAGGATCAGTCCCCAGGGCATAGGGGAGGCTACAACTACAACAGCAAGCCGGCCGGCAATATGTCGCTCAATCAACCGCCTCCTTCACATACTCAAGGGCGTCCAAGTGCAATTAGCAGCTGCAGCAGCAGCGGTAGTAGCGGAAATGGTAGCCAGCAGCGCTACTATGATGATGTCAAATACTCAGTACCTACAGTGGCGACCAGTGCCAAGATGGTTAGTTATCCGCCGGCACAGCAGCCGCCACGCATGTCGATGAACTATGACCTCGATCATGTGATTAATCCGAGCAATGCGCTTATGGCGCCGGGCGAACAGCAACCCAGTCCCAACTACGGACGCAAATGTCCACAGCATTATGAGCCGCCCGAACGCAGAGCTGCCGCTGCAGCCGCACCACCGCCAGCTGCGCCGCCTGCGCCACCACCCCCCACGTCTACGACTACGCATCACCAGAGTCTGTATATGCCAATGCCACAGTTTAGTACGGAAAAGTTTCAGACCACCGTGCACAATGCCATTGAGAAATATGTGCGTGAGACGCCGGCGCAAGCACCACCGCCCACCTTGGATTATCGACGATCCCTGCAGGCCAGTCACCCCCCAGCGAACTACGGCGGACGCAGCAGCAGTAACAGCAGCAGTAGTAGCTATTACGGGCAGCAGACGCAGTTGAAGTCCGTCGCAGTTAGCCCAGCACATTATGCGCATTACGGTGGTACGCCCAGCGCTCCCACTGCATCCACGGGCAGCAAGCAAGCGCCACCAACTGCCAGCTACGTGAAGATGGAACCGGAACATGCGCTACCGGCGGTACTCAGCGTTCCACAAACGGCGCGCGCCTCGCTCTATCACAATCCCTACAATGCATCGCCCCATTCGGACAGTGCATGTTGCAAGGAGCAACGTGTGAGCTCGCCCGCTGCACCACATGGCTACCCCACCAAATATGGGAAGCTGTTGCAGCAGCATGGCACGCCCACGCCTCCACCGCCAGCACCGCCCACGCAGCCAACACGACTGCCGGCCAGTTCCTCCTCTTCTGCATACTACTATCATGGTTCGCCCTCCCCAGCGGCAGCCACAGTAGCCTCGCCTACGCCTGCAACGCTATACTCGCACACGCCACCACCAACGGCACCCAGCACGGCCAACTACTCCACATTGCAGGTGTATCCACATGGTCCGGACATTTGCTGTCAGCCGAAAGCTCCACCCTCGTCCACTAAGCAACGGCCCATGGGATTGCCGCCCGCAGTAGCGCCCGCAATAACAGTCGGAGCAAAGAAAACCACACCGGCACCCAAGCCCAACTATCGTGCCCTCATCAATGACATGCTTAAACGGAATACGGCCAGCGAAGAGGAGATGAATTTGCAGATCATTAAGAAAACGCTCAACATGGAGACGCCTTGCCGACCACTAGTGGCGCCCATGCCAGCACCCTTGCCCGCCCCCGTCATACAGGCGCCACAATCATCGGCACACTCACCACTGGATCTCTCCATGCGGACGGTCAAGCAGACTGCCGATTCCACGGACTACAAATACCAGCGACCTCTGACGGAATACAAACCGTTAGTGGGTAGCAGCAGCAGCAGCAGTGGTGGTGGTGGTGGTGGTGGTGCAACTGGCATAATTGGTGGCACTGGACTGCCACGTTTTGACATCACGCCGAATTTCTCAGCAGCTACACGCGGTACCCCACCACTTTCGGGACAACCGACACCGCTTGCAAATCCCACAGCAGTTATACGCACGGCCCCCAGCAGTAGCTACAGCGCTCAGCAGCATACGCATTCTCATGTGCCGATACCGCCGGCTGCTGCACCCGCCCTGGTCATAAAATCGGTGCAACAGCTTCGACCCAGTGTGGTTGAAACGAATCCGTATGCAAAGCGACAATTACTGGCATGCGAGCAGCTTCCACCGGAAACGAGCATCATGGCTTTGCCTAAAGCCTTACCGTCAACGACAACGCCCACACCTCCCGCCACGCCTAGCCCGCACCATCCGAGCAGCAATCCCAACTACTTGGGACGCAAACGCCATCTGGCAGAGTATAATCAGGCAACTGCTGCTGCGGCCAAGCAAACACGCTGTGAAGCGCCACCACCGACGTCCACATCCACAGTGGTGCGTGCCGCCGAAATTCCGGTCATTGCCTTCAACGAACAAGCGTTGGCCTCCAAGCTGCAGCTGCAGACGCCTCATGGAGCTTCCCTTGGAGGTGGCATTATTGTGACGCCACCGCTTAGCTGTAAACAGGAGCCGCTTACACCAACTACACCCACACCGACGTCGACGCCGCTGCCGGTATCAACATCCATGTTGCGTGTGGTGGAAACGACGCCAATTGTTGTCCCCAAGACTGAGCAACGCATACGCACCAAGGCCGAATTAAAGGGTTTCACATTTACCCCGCCCGTACTGGCCGCAGCAAGCTCAACCACACCAAGCATCCCTATCGGCCCAGCCACCACCGCAAATCAACTGACCAATAACATACAAATTAAGCTAGAGCCAGCGCCCCCACTGCCATCTACTCTGCCAAATGCACTTTCAACCACTAGTCTGACGCCTCCTTGTGTGGATCTTGGCCTGGAAGATGTGTCGCCCTTCAACAGCAACCTGCTGGACTGGGGCAATGCCTGCAACAATCTTGTCGAGCAGCTGCTGACCAAAGTGGTGCTGCCAAAGCATTCCAGCCCTGCTTCAGCGGCCGCCCCATTATCGCCGACTCCAATAAGCATCAAGTTGGAGTTGAGCGAGGATGATTTGCCTGTGGCGCGCATATTGAAGTGCAAACCGCTGGCGTTTGATGTGGAGTCGCCGGCCACAAGTAATTCATTTACACTAGCTGCCTCACAACTAACCACAGCAACAACAACAACCAATACAAATGGCTTGCTCATGGGCGGTACGCAAAAGAAGCTGAGCAAGACGGAGCGTGAGAAGAAGCGTCTGCAGCAGGAGCAACGGATTGCAGCACGTCTGGCGCCATCAGCGGGACAAGGTAGCAGTTCCGAGAGCGACACAACGGAGCTTCACAAACGCAAGACTGAAAGGCAGAAGAAGCCGTTGCTGATGCGCAAAGGCAAGGCGCGCCGCACGACACCAACGTCGCCAACAACGAACGAGAACACAGTACAGGATGCGAAAGTGAAGCGTGAAGAGCAGAGCAGCGATGAGGAGCAGGATAACTCCAGTGATGCCTCTGTCGGAGATGTTAAGCCCAAAAAACGACTAGAAAAGGTATCAACAAAGTTAAAGGACAATGTGCAATATGCAAAGATTAAGGGAAAAGCCAAGGCAAAGGAAAGTGAAGCTAGTGCGAGTGGTAGCAGCAGCAGCAGCGGAGCAGAGGAGAAGCAGCACAAGAAAGATGGAGAAAACAAGGACAAGAAGCAGAAGCCACAGCAGGAACGTAGAGAAGGATCCCAAGCCAAACCCAAACAGGCAACTGTCTGCAAGCAACGAAGCACCCTTAAAGCGCGTATAGCGCTCAACACCATGACGCGTTCCAAGCGCAAGAAGGAGCTCGAATTGCAATTGGCCAATAGCAAGGTCCTCCGCAATGACAAGATCATACGCAACTCTACGACGAAGATCAAACGAAAGTATGTTCGAAAAATGGTTGCGGCCCAGACAGTTGCTGATAAAAAGGAAATTATGTGCACGCGTCTGCGCAACAAGCGGGGGATTGAGAATGCCAGCGGTGTACCTACGGCCGGTGGAGTTGCCAATGGACGTAAGACTTCCAGTAAGATCGGTATCAATGCAACCGGCACCAAAAATAGTTCGCCACAGCAACAGCTCTATCTGGAGGAATACCGTTATAAGCTTGCACTCAAGATACCCCATCGATTGATCTCCATTAACAAACTGAACAATTCCAATGGTGGAGGTATTCAAAAACTGCCAGGGGTTGCCTCCTCTTTGCCCGACCTGGAGCGCAGAGACTTAAGCCAGGAGCTAGCGTGCTTCAAAAGCAATCGCGGACGCAAGCCGCGAGCATTGAAGCAGACAGAGACAACCACGCCCAAATCCATCATAGATGTGCTCCATCTGCGCGTTACGAGCAATGGCGGTACTCAGCCGCTTAAGCAAACAATGCACTCCAGTGCGACAATACTGACGACGTCCACAACGACCACTTCGCTGCACAACTACAGTGAGACGTCACAAACCTCCGCTTCCAATTCGCTCTATGATCAACCGCATGAGACGACTTTGCCGCCGCCCACACCAAGTGGGGCCAACACGGTTTCTTCCTCCGATTTGGCGGGCGATTTGAGCAAACGGCACTTCAGCATCTTCGACACTAAGGTGCTGCAAAGCAAAACACGCACGGAATCCAAATTACAGCAACGTCGCGAAATTATACGCGAAATATTTGTCGGTCCCGAACGTCCCGCTTCGGCACCACCGGAATGTGCACAGCAGGAGGGCGCACTCAGCTATCAAAAGTACGAGGAGTTCCTTGAGCAAATGAATCGCATTGTGAGCGCCAACAATAATAAGTTGGCCAGGCGTCAGACAACGAACAACAACATCAACAGTGAACAGAACCACGATGCTGAGAAGACAACGACGCCTCATTGCCCGCACAAGCGCAAGTATTTGCGACGCAAGGGCAGCTCCGGTTTCGATTACATACGGAAGAAGAAGCGGCCAAATCCTCATGGGCACCCAACTGGGGCGAACAACAGTAACTGCGACCAAAACAGCAGTACGGGTCTTATCACAGGACCAGTCGCTGGAGGAGTGGGAAGTGTCGCCACTGCCCTAACTGTCGATGAACGATTGGAGGATACAGACAGCACCATTGCCGGCAGCTCACATTTGCCGCCTAAGATCAAAACTGAGGCGGATGTGTATCGCGAAATACAGAAATGGGTGCTCAACAAGGGTGTTGGACAGAGCACGATGCACAAGGCGGCACGTCAGGGCTTGATCGATGTGGTGGTCTACTGCCTAGACCGGTTGGGCATGAACCCCGATCAAAAAGATAATGCTGGCTACACGCCACTGCATGAGGCGTGCACCCAGGGCTGTCTCGAGATTGCACGCGTCCTACTGCAGTTTGGAGCCAATCACTCGGAAGCTGCACAGTCGGGCATACGGCCCTTGCATGGCGCCATCGAGAATGATCACGAGGAGGTGGTGCGTCTGCTGCTGTCCTATGGTGCTGATCCGTTGCTGGCAACGTACTCAGGTAAGTTCGAATTCGAATAATCTAAAATAACATATTGACAAACAAAACTCTCCTGATCTTTCCGGTGGCAGGCCAAACTCCGCTCATGCTAGCTTCAAGCAAATTGATGCGCAACATTTTGCGTGCCCATCTGAGCGATGCTCAAAGTGTAGCCGCTGACATCAAGCCAATGATCCTGCAGGGTCCCTGGGAAATATTTGGTGAGCTCATGTCGGGAATACAATCAGTATTCGAGAAGGAAGCTTACTAAGACGAAATGCATTCAAAGTTCCATTTAAATTTAAACACTCACACAAACTCCAGTTAAGCAAAAAAGTATGCTGTTTCAAATCGTTAACCGAAGGTTGCGAGGCCGATACAATCGTATATAATTATATCTGCTTTAAATACTGTCATAGGAAAAATCGATGCAAAAACCCGTGCCCCTGGGATGAAATATTTTTGTTTTTTTCTTAATAGATTTACAATATAATTCTTTTGTGGTTTTCAATTTTCTAGAACATGCGTAGGGAGAATTTACACAAATAAGGTACGACTTATCGTGGATGTTGACTTAACCTTTTAACATTAGACAAGTTTTTGGTAATACATTTTTTCCGTGCTTGTTTGCCTATTTTCGAGCTTCTGGGCCGATAAAGTTTATTAATTTATTAGAAACTGGATTAGTTCTTTATTATTATTATTTTATTGCTAAGAGCTTTTGTTTAACTGTTATAACACAAAATGTTTTAAAACTTTTGGTAAAAGATAAAGAAAGATATGTTCATCAGCTGTCTTGAAATGTCTCAAATGAAAGAACATTTCAATAAACTTTGCCTGCTGATTTTCCCCATTTGTGGGTCGAATTTCTCATTTTGTAATACTGTAATTCATATTCAATATAAATAAACCCAATATGAATTTCAAGAAGCAGCTTAAACCGATCAAACAAGAAAGAATATTACAGTCGAAAGAGTCTAACATTGGTTAAAATTTAAAATAAAGCTAGAAATAAATAGAAAAATAGTTATGCGAAGTTTACTTTCTTACTCGTAGCTTAGGAATTATGGACAGTATTGACAAAATTCTGTAACCGTGGAATGGAAATGAAATAAACAAGTGTTTCATAAGGACTAGGAAAGTCCTACGTAGAATCCAGATCGATTTGTCTCGACATATCGATTAAGAATACAATCTATATATACCTTTAGAGACTTTGGCTACAGGTTGTCCCGTCTTTGAATGCGTTTTGGTGTGGTATCAATAGAAGTGCTATAATTTATCATTATTATAACTTGAATTTTGACAATTTTTAACTTCATTTTATATTCACAGATAAAACTGAAAATGGTTATGATATATTTGATAATGTACCGAAAACAGCATGTGATATGAGCAGAGCTCTACGTAGAGAAAAGAAAGTGCGCAAACGCAGATACAGCAGTAGCAGCAAGAAGGAAATAAATTCAACAAACTTTAATAACAGGAATAATAATGGATTGATATCGGGCGGCAATAATGATTGTAAAGCTGACTGCAGGGAGATGTTAACGACGACAATGGCAACAATAAAACAGAATGGGGAGACAAGTGCAACAAAGACTGCAATAATGGCAACAGGAACAGGAGCAGAAGCAGCAACAACGATGATGACGACGATGACGAAGAAGGAGACAGAGACAATGATGCTGATGGCATCAACGGTGAAATTAGAACAAACAGATCAGGATAGCAATAATAACAAAAACAACGATGAGCTAAACGATGAAACGAACGTTGTGAATGTCAAGAATGAATTGAAGAATGAAGTAATTGATAATAACAATGAGAAGCCAGCTAATGATAAAGATACTGCTGAGTATGAGAATGAAGATGATGCGATCAACACAGACGCGGACGAATTGAACGGTGATATTTTTGAATTTGAAGAGGCCGATGTGCTTTTGCCACCACTGTACTTGCTCAAAGACGAGGGCAGTGATAAATGGGTACTATTGAATGATTTGTGCAATTTACTTAAAGTCAAGTCAAAGGACACGCTGCTAAATAAGGTAAGATTGGCCCTAATATACATACATATTAGAATAAGCTGGAAACATGTCTTTGAAAAGTTAGATTTCAAATAATTTTACTTTTAATTTCGAATATCGCTATTTCTGCTTTGGGTATCCATCTTTTGTAAATGTTGAGGCGACGTTAAGACGTTAATTCTGGTTCCGTTTAGTTTTCCGATCGATATTATATATATAGATAGATAAACAGATATATTATTGAATTGACGTAGGCATCATTGAATAGGTGTTGACCGCGATAAGTTTATTTATTTATTTTATTGCTAAATCTATTTCGAAATCTTGAAAGCGCTCTGTAATAAATTCTTACGAGACGAATGAGTGCAAACTTCTCTGTGATTTGTTCACTATTTGATTATAGTAGTGTAGTGTGATCTTGAGAGGTCCAGACCTCAGTCCTATAGGGAACCTCTGAGCTGAATTTAAAGAGAAGTCGCAGAGACTGTTTGCCAAAACAAAACACAGCCATGGGAAAATATTCAAAATGTTTGGTACAAAATTCCAAAAGAAACTTGTCGGAAAGCGTTATCGGAAGATATGCATATAGAACAGGTTACTAAATGCGTTAAAACAAATTTGTTGGGCATACCTATTATTAAGAACACTCCAAACTTGAGTATCTTCTGAATAGATTAAATGCTGAGATTTTTTTGTGTTTGTCTGGACTTTTTTTTAAGTTTCGAAGATAAGATATGGTTTGAAAACGAATTTGTTCTTTAAGAAATAAATGAAAAATATGGCCTTATTTTTTTTTTTCTTATTTTGCCTTTTTTTGATTACCAATCAGAAGCGCAACAAAGTTGCTTCACTAAATCTATGCTTAATATATAATATATATGGAAATGAATCTGAACAATTGCTTTACATGAATAATCCAATCCAATCGATGCTTAAACAAGGGCAGAAACTAAGTTCGATTTATCATTTAGTTTGGTTGAAGATATTAAAGCACAAATAAAACAGAATCGAATCCAGCGCTAATATGAGTTATTAATTCCAATTTGAATAAATACTAATCCTTTCACTATTCCAGATCTATCCGAATAGCAACTCGTTGGCTACCGCACAGAAGCAATTGCTGCGAGAATTCAAGATGTCGGATTTTCTCGAAAAGGCGACCTGTTTGCAGCTGCTCTGTGCTGGAGAGAAGCTAAATATGGGGGCCTCCAAGGTTGTGCTTATCAAATACAACGAGAGCGTCAGGAATTTATTGGGCGTTAAAACCATTTTAATGAAATTTTAGAGCAAACGGCATTACTGCAACAAGAAATAGGACAATGAATGGATTTTAGCATTTTAGCGATTAAATGAGAACTAGCATTGATTGTAATAACTTTCATATACATATGTTCTATAAATGTATATTTTAGCGATATAATGAACTATTAGTACGAATATGAATATGATTGTAAAGTAAATATAACACTAAATCTACATATACATACATACATATATTTTAGTTAGTGTTGAGGAACGTCTTTGTCTGGAAGACAAGTCTTTTTAATTAGAGCTAATGCAAAGTGATACAAAGGTGCTATACACACACTCAAAAATGATGGCGAAGAATCGGGCGTAATCGTAAAAAAGAAAACTGAAGTAGATCAAGCTAGTTTGGTGTTGTAGTCAAAAAGGAACAAGAGAGAGAAAACAAACAGAATATAGAAGGGCAGGGATGAAAAGAGCAGGCAAGGATTCGCCCAAAAAAAAAAACAAAAAAAAAAAACTGCTGATGGCACTGGCTGCATATGTAGAACAAATTGCCAGCTAAATTCTAGGGATATTGTGTAATGAATGGTTTTAAAACGATAAATGAATTAAAAATTAGTAAAAGGCAAATGAGAGAACGGCGTATTTATGTATTATGTATTTTTAAATGAAATTATTAGCTTATAAGATGATCTATACAAAATATTAAAATTAGGTACATAATAAAAAAAACACTCAAAAGTGCATGAATATTTAATATTATTATACAATAGAACATACAACAAATTTCAGATAGGTTTGTAATTTTGATGTAATATGTATATGCTCGTAAGTTGTATAACTTAAAAAAGAATATAAACAAATAATGAAATTACTTTTTTGCAATTTATAGGTGTACATGTGAAGAAAAAAACAGCAACAATGTTCAATAATTTAATATTTAAATTAATTGTAATAATTAATAAAATGAAATGCAAACTATTTTCTTAACAACAAAACACGATCTGAATACTTTTTATTATTTAATTCAAAAAACAACGGGGCAAAATCTATGGATTCCTGAGATATTCCAATGCAACCGAAATCATTTTAACGAATTTAGATCAAACATTGAAATAAAAACAAAAAACATAAATAGAATATATAAAATATAAAATTTGAAATTATTGATCTTCGTATAAAAAAAGCAACGGAGCAGAATCTATGGATTCCTGAGATATCCCAAAGCAATTCAAAGAACTTAAAGCATTTTAGAAATAAAAAATTGTATAAACGAATAATTATCAAAAAAATAAATAAATAAAAAATAGAAAAGGCAACCGAATTTGGTTGTTTACTGCTCAACGCAGCTACTTCAACTGGCAACGCATTGCCAAACAATTTTAGGAAGCTATGAAAGAACGGCATACTTTGACGCAACGTTTTCCATAGTGTTGTTAAATATTCAAAGAACCTGATAACTCAGTGTTGAAATAGGGGATCCCGACAGGTTGATCTAACCAAGTGCATAATTATATACAACATATTAATAAAAAGTGAGGAAAACAAAGTGATATATAAAGGGCATGCCTGGTTGCTCTTTAAGGCTATAATTTAAAGTAAATCCAAGCTATTACCTTTCACTTGCGTTCATTGCATGAGTTAACTGGCTCAGAATTAAATATTAAACCACAATCTTCTTATTTTATAACAAATCAACAATGCTGCGACGTACTGAATCTAACAACGGTCGACCAGCAAACCGACAGAGGGCGCTGTAAATAATACAAACAATGGCCGCCAGTTGAAAGCTTACGGGGCTGTGCTTTCAGCTGAGAGCTTCTCGAGCACCATATGATTGCCGTCCTTGTTCTTCAAATGCACGTTTAAAGGCCAAGAATATTTTGTCGCCGCTGACTGCCTTTTACACGTCCTTGGCCCCGCGCGCACACCAACACAAACGCAATTGTGCCCGACCGACCGTCCGACTGTGTGCGTGTGCGCTTTCGTCTTCTTCTACCTACGCCAACAACTTTGCCACTCTTACTGTGTTCCCGTTCGTGTTGGCCTACAGACCTAATTTTTTGCGTGTGTGTTCCGTGAATAGTTTTTCCCGAAAAACGAATAAACAAATAGAGCAAAAAGCAATAATCTAATACGCATAAAAAAGAAAAATAAACGCATACTGAGGCCAAACGCGTGTCGTGCGTAATGAAAGTGAGAATATGCGGCATCGCGATTTGTTGCTGCAACTTTAAAAGCAAAGAATGTGTTAAAAAGTGAAATGTGTATTAATATTTGTGAACAGCAGCCAGCCCATATAACGGGAGTGCGCGCCGCAGTCAGCGTCGACGTCGGCGCTGGCATTGCCTTCATTTCGGCATTTCCAAATGTGCAATTTTTGTGAAATTATCTTCACAAAACTAACTACAATAGCAACACAGCAACAATTTATGTATATATGTATGAGTGTATGTAGCTGTGTATGCAAAATGTTGTTGCTGCTGCCGCCGCAGTTGTTGTGTCATAGCGAGGTATTGGGGCAGCCTTAGAATTGGAGCAGCCGCCTAACTGAAAGAAAAAGCAAATACCCAGCAAAACCAACAACAACAACACCTCATCAAGTAAATATGTGTATATGTGTGTGCGCTCTCGCCGCGTCGCGTGTCTGCTTGTGTATGTGAGTTTAGACGAGAACTGCAATTTTTATACCCTCTATACGAAGTGTTAATAGGGTATATTAGATTGTCGAAGTGTATGTAACAGACGAGAGGAAGTATCTATGATCCCATAAAGTACAAGTAGATTAATCAGCTCTATCCCATTTCCGATTCCGGTTGAAGTAGTTGTACCTGGGGGTTACAAATTTATTAATTCACTGGTATAGTAATTATTTCCAATAAAGCACTTATTTTGTCAAAATCTAAAATTTAACCATTTAGTCATGTCATGTCCGTCCGTCTTGTTGTGTAGACTCTTTTAATCCCTACGCAATAACAGTTAATTTTTTTGGAAACAATTCATTTTACACAAATTAAAAATAAATATCGATATATCAACATTCCTAGTGCAGGGTATTTCTCTGTCGGTCGTGCACGATTGCTAAATTCTCTCTTGTTGTATTGTAGTGTGGCTGGCGCTGGTAAAGCTTTTCGCTTGTTGCGCGTGCTCGTCGTTGTGCAAGAAATAGTCTCGGCATAATTGCAATAAATATTCTGTCTCTGTAGTTGTAGTTTTTGTTTTTTGTTTAATACATAAAAGGAAGCTACAATCGTCGTTGACGCCACAGTTTTGCAAAAAAAAATTCTACACATGAAAGACAACACTAAAAGCGAATAGCAAAAGCGAAACGGAACGAAACCAAAGACGAAGGCGAATAGCAAGAGAATTGGCGCAGCAGCAAATAATAAGAATACAATAAAAAAAAAAAAAACAACAACAAGACAAAAACAAATCGCAAATGCGTTCGTCGCGTGTGTGTGCGAACCTGAACAAAATATGCTGAAAAAGCTTTCGTGTTCGCAGCTGGCGCAGGCGGAAACTGTTGCTGCAAGCGTCGCCGACGTTGATGAGCAGCAAGCAGCAGCGCAGATCTGCGCCACTATAGTAATAATAATACCAACAACAACAATAATTCAACTGAGGGGCTCATGAATCACACAGCGACGAGGCAGTCGCTGTTTTGTTGTTTTGCGAATTTATAAATTCGCGTTCTGGACGAAAAGCCGTGTAAAGCGCACAAACAAATAGACAACAACAGCACCAACGACAAAGGCAAGCCATAATAATAATAGCACTTTTGCTTTCGGCCTCAACTGGTTTTACTACCCAGAGACGGGCACAGACAGACAAAGAGCACCACCACCACCAGCCAGGCCAGAAGAGCCCAACAAACCGGGCGCCCCAAAAGTAGCGTCGTCGTCGTCGTCTCCGTGCTGTTGTCTTGATTCTTGGCTCTTACTTTGTTGTGTTTTGCTGCTTCGTCTTCTTCTTTATTGCCGTATTCTTTGTGGTCTCGCAATTCGCATAAAATAACTAAAGATTCTGTCGTAGAGCACAGCTTAAGTTGCGCATGCGCGCAACTTTAACATCAACACCAACGGCAACAGCAACACACAGTTGTTGCACAAACATTCAGCTGCTGTTGGCTCTGCTATTAATTTTGTATGAAAGGTGAGTGTGCGTGTTGGCTTCCTTCCCTCAATATGATAATTTAGTTAAGTTTGCGCAGGTTAGGTCTGTAGTGTAAATATGTATTTATTAACGCATTTCAGAAGTTTATTATTAGTTTTCACCAAACTACAATTTTTGCTAAAATATATTCCCAAGAATTTTAAATGCTTTTGATAGCTAATGGAGATGGCATTGGAAAGGGAAAGGTAAACTCCCCAGAGTCGAATTTTTTCTTACGTGTTTCGTTAAAGTTACATATCATTACATATTTATGTATATGTACTTATGTATGTGTGTTTGACGGCTCTTTAACGACAATTTTCTAAATTTTCATTTTTGAGTTTAAGCCAACAATTTTTGGACACAAGTTTGTTAGTTTCCTAGCGCTTCATAATATCCTTGCAGCGCCGATGTACAGCTGTATTGAAGCAGAAAGACTTTCACACCAAATATTAATGTTGTAAAATCTAAAACTATAATTTTATTGAATTTGTCCTTAAGTTTTCATATTTTTTTACTAATCAAGTAAACGTTGTTAATTAGTTGTCTCGGTCAAATCCGTGCTATAGGCAGGAAATCACTCATAAAAAATATTTGAGTTAGAAATATGAACTCAACTGTGGTTTATTTTTAAGTTTATAGGTCTCACATATAGAATATGTTAACTTTTTCTGGAGCACATAAAAAAAATGAGAAAAATGATGAAATCCCCACCCGGCACCATCGTTGTTAATTTGTTGTCAACAGCTGTAATTATGTTTTGTTGAAGAATGACTTCTTAACGTAGTTCTATAAATGCTCAAAGAGATTTATAATGGGACGGATCGGTAGCCATTTGAGTAGAGTTTCTATCCAATTGTTGTTCTGTTACATTAAATTTTTATCCATCCCAAAATTTGTATCATCCCAGGCAACATTGCCTGAATTCTGCAATATTTGACCTCTTCGCAAATATTTTCGATAATTTTAATAAAACAAGCATAAAATCTCCAAATAAAATATATTTAAATGCCAAAGCTAAAGCAATCAGTTAAACAATTAAAACTAACCTTAATTAGTGAAGCACTGGAAACGAGGGCCTTCGTCCACATAGCATTATAGTGCTTTGTGCAAGTTATTGATATTGTAAATAAATACGGGAAATAATGGGCATAAAAATGGTTATATTTTATGGTAAATATTGGCTTCATTGAGATAAAGTAGGATTGTATATATTTACTTATTTTTGTATACGTATTCCTAGTTCCCTATAAGTTTTTGTATTGAAAAATGGAAAGAATGTTGTTTCTGATGCGTTAAGTATTGTGCTTGAGTATCCATTTAAATTTATAATGGATTTTCAAAAAAATGGGACTTACAGAAAGCAGTTGAGCAATAGGAGCTCGAAGGTTTCTTTTTCTATTTTTCTGTTCATCAAAGCTGCCTAATTCTCTGTAAGTTTAAAAATTCATTTATTCCTACATATGTATGTGTATGCATTTTAGACCTTGACCCACTGTATTTACCGTGACCTACTTTATCTACCTTGACCTGCTTTATCACAGAATCTGATTTGATAGATAAACGAAACGGAATTGTATTTGGAATACGTGCATTGAACCCAGGAAATTATTTACAATGTAAACAAATAGAAAAGTGTTAATTTTTTTGAAGTGATTGACCACATTGGGCGACATTTTTCGGTTCACGCTTTATACACCTGTAATATATGCATATTTATTCAGATACATATCGAGACCTAAACAAAATAAAAATCGAATAACAAAATAGCTAAAACAAACTGGCCTAGCGAAATACATTTGCTTTACCTCTCAAAGCACATAATTTAGATTTTGTCAATTTCTTACCGTAGCGACAGCCAGATACCTCAACAAATTGTAAATACTATTACGTTGGCGCCTATTTCTGCACATTCGTCATTTTTGCACGGCTTCTTCGCAATTTTTAAGCTGTATAGCAGAAAATTAACAGTGCTGTGTACAAAATTAAACCCAATTATAACTTTCAATTGTAACTTAAATTATAAATTTACTTATGTATTAAAGACTATTTCAAATCTATTCCCCCTCCGGATTCAATACACATATGCCAACGTTTTTCAATCCTCCAAGCAGTCTGAAAAAACCTTTTCAATTGGGCTTGAATCTTTAAAATCGTGTCAAAACGATGTCTCTGGAGTATTTGTCAGGTTGCGGACCGATAGTCGTCTTTTTTTTTTAACGTAATGCAAAAACATAGGTTGTCTTCTCACAAATCCGGCCTTTAAGGACGAATAGCTGCAAACAAATCATTCATAACACTCAAATAATATGCCTTCTTGACACATTTGTCTTAATTTAATTTTACCCCGACAATCAAGGAAAAATTACTGTATGTCTTGATTCCACTTTGGCACGATATTCGCTCGGGGTCATAAGCATTGATCCAAGTCTCACCTCCAGTTTTTATAAGAACTCCGTTTTTCCAAAAATGAAGTGTTTTTGGAAACAAACGAGGTAACAAGATTATATGAGGCACAAAATTTCTCTTCAATTTATATTGACGGATCCATTAGAAATGGCAACAGCATCACCAACTCTTTGATTTGCTTCACGTGTTGTTCATCAGTGGATGTTCTTGATCGCCTTGTTCGTCTTCAACGCTTTCTCTACCCTCTTTCAACATTTTATGCCATTCATAAACTTATGTTCTCACATACCCTGTTTATTGGAAGACTTCTGCAATATTCTTACCGTTTCGACTGCAAAGAATTCATTCCTTACACAACATTTTACGAATAAGGAATAATGGAATGAAACTTCAAAATAAAAGGAATTGTCCTCCTCCATTTAAAGTAAAATTTCCGTTTGTAAATATAAAGAACTTCCTTGCTTTTTATATTTCCTAAATACAGTGACTGTGGACATTTTTGATTAGGGGCATATTATATGGGAACTTCATACCATCTTAATTCGCCAGATAGATTATAAGAAGCTTACAGCATTGTTCTAAAACACTTTTCCCCGCAAAATAGATAAAACCTCTCCTATTCCGCACTTAATTTGTCCAACCACATATGGTTATACTTCTGATATCTTTGCCAGCTTGTTAAGAGCAGTCTATTCAGGAACATATTTTTAATAATGGTTGCTAGGTATTTTTTATATTTTTTATTCTATGAATTTTTGTCTGATTTCTAACAAATGTTTTTATTTGCCTTGCAGCTATTCAACAACAACTACAATTACTACAGTTACCTGCCAACTACAACAACAAAAACTCGTACATCACAAAAACGTACAAATTTACCTTTAAAGAAAACAATTAAAGCATCATATTTCTACAATGGACACCTTCCACGTACCTATGTTAGCGGAGAGTAGCAGTAATATTGGTTATGCCAACGATGCCATAATTAGCATCAATAATAATAGTAATAATAACAACAATGATAACAGCAACAACAATCACCATCAAGTGCAAACGCACCATCAGTTGCAGCATCCGCAACAGCATCAGCAACAGCAGCAGCAACAGCAACAATTGCTGCCACATCATCACAAAGATCAAATGCTTGGGGCAGGCAGCACACCAATGCTGCCTTTCATCAACTATGGCCAGATGCAGCAGAAGGAGGACAGTGGTGTGGAGGTCACAGATAACGCAGATTTCGGTTGCATGCAACCGAATGCGTTGCAGCCAATCGATGGCAGCCACCTGGACGGGGGCATTTCATTGGGGGGTCTGTGCGATCGCATGTTTGCCAGCCCGAATCCCCATAACACCAACAATCTGACCTTGATGGGTGCCGGCAATGTAGAGGCTAAGGCAAGTGTTAGCAGCGGCGGCGTCTCCGGCAGACCCTCAAGCGGTGGCGCTATTGTCTTAGAATCCGTATCTGTGCCATCTTTTGCCAATTTATTGTTCCCGAACCGTGCTCAGACACAGACGACCGACACTGTCAACAGCATCGATCCTGCGCTGCTGCAGAAGGCGCCGCCCACAACCGCCGTCGAGTATCATCAGCTGAAGCCTTTGGAGAATCCCGCCACATCAGCCCCTGGGCCCACCTCTAGCTTTCTCAGCTCAACGACTGCACAGTTGCTCGAATTTGATGTTGCCAGTACTGCGAATACCAACAACAACAATAAACAGCACTCGGAGGACGTTAGTGTAATTCAAGTGCATGGTCAGCGCAACAACAATAACACCAACAACAACAACAACAACAGTAACCATAATAACAGCAACAATAACTTGGCTGACAATCACATCAGCACCACAACAACTGCAACAACAATAATAAGAAACACTGCCAATCAGCAACAGTCGTCCCAACAACAGCAACAGCAACAACAACAAAGAAAATCGTTGCATAGCATTGAAGAATTGGCTGCAAGTTCCTGTGGGCCTAAAACCTCGCCACACTCTCAGACGCCCACCCCCAACCACCACCACAGTAATAATAACAATAGCGATAAAAATAACGCCAGCATCAGTAATCATAATATTTGCAACAACCACAACACCAATACTAACAAGAGCAATAGTAGCGGTACACGGCAACATCAACAACAACAACTGCATGGACCGCACAGCGTTTCAAATCTCAGTTCCGAAGAGGAGTCCATGTCGGAGGATGAATTTGGCTTAGAAATTGACGATCAAGGAGGTAAGTTTCACACCTTTCATCCGGTATTAATCCATATTATTTCCCCCATCATCCCCCCTTAGAGAATGTTGGCAATATTCTGTTCAAAAAGTTACACAGAAGAAAAAAAGTGAAGTGAAGTGAAAAATCAAACAAATTTAAACAAAAATGCGAAAAATGCGACATGAAAATTACGTTTATTTATACATTAAACTATTAAATCGTAATAAACAAAGTAAATGGATTAAACAAGTAATCAATGCGTGTTATGAAAAATGCGACCTTAAAACTACATTGATTTATAAATGATACTAGAAACTTACGTATAAATAAAGTAAACAAATCAATTACGACAAATTAAACCCAAATTATAATTTATAATTATTATAAACTACGGTGTGTTGAGGTTTGTCTAATAAATAAAGTTAAATGTTCACACTAGCAGCAACAAATTTATTCACATATACAAAATTTTCGATATTAAATTACTTGCAATTATTGTGGCTCAGTATTATAACTGGCAATTATTTGGATGCAGCGTTTTGGGCAGAGACTGTTATCTGCAAGTCTTGACATCGTATTTCGGTGTTCGAGGGAGGTTTGATCATAATTTTGAAGCTCCTTCCGAATTCGATCAAATAATCCGCACTTAATTCCGAAAAGTGATTGAGTTATACAGTTTGGTATGATGTTTTCCTAAAACTAGCGCTCTACTTTTATTTCTCCAGAGACATTATTTTGAGATTTTATTAATGTACGAATTTCGATTCCACATAATTTAATCGAAATTTGGAATTTTCGGCGAATTTCGAAAAAGGGAAATAAATAAGCTACTTTCTGTAAAGGCTTGAGAGCCTTAAGTATTATTTAAATTGAAATGAACTACATTGGCGAGCCTTGTTTTTTTATTTTTAAGAAACTTTTGGCATGCAGTATTTATGAAAAGTGTTGTAACGTAAATTTCCTAAATAGGCCTTAAATGATGACACACATTTAATAAATATTGTCTGAAAATTGTGCTAAGGAAACTATGATCCTGATATAAACTATGATCTTAAAAGTTTCAAGCACTTATGGAAAACAAACTTACATTTGAAGTACATTTTGATTCATTCAACCAGATCTTACAAAATAGTTTTCTTCAATCATCAACTGTCTTTACTGTTCTATATTTTTAAAGTTTAGGCTAGTATTTCCTGTTGGTTTTTCCAGCGTAACACCTCTTTCTTTCGCCATATAATCTCAAATCCCCCACCGGGTCGGATACGTTAATTACATATTATTTTAATTTGATTAGATTTCTCCCGCTGAGGCTTTTTTACTTTATACGATGCTTTTTGGTTTTTTTTTTGCAATATTCTCCGTTCAGCATTTTAATTAACAATAGACAGAGGGAAGCATCTCCCACTATATAAAGAATATGATATATAGTTAGCATGTTAGATCTAGTCATGCTCGTTCTTCAGGCTGAACTCCTGGTTTTCGAAAACGGCTGAGAATACAGTGAGTAAACTCGTTGTGTAGACTTTCCTTATCCGAGGAAGACGCGAGTTTATTGATTTTCATTTTTCTTTCCTTCCCATGTTAAACTTTAAATTATAAGAGATTTTCTAAATTTGTTTGGAATTAAAATCGGTCAATCAAGGGTTAAATCTGCAGATGCAGTGTACTGGGTATATTTCACTGTCGGGTTTGCTCGACTAAACCATTCTATTTTGGTTTAGTACTTCCTTCAAATATTAGAAGCCTCAATTTCGTCTGTATTGAAAAAAATTTCGACTACATAACTTTGTTTGGCGTTTGCAGCATTCTTTTTTCGAGCGGCTAGTCTCGTAAATGCATTTCTTTATTGCCTAGACTTTGCCAAGTTGAAACATATGTACATAGTACATACATATTTGGATGCAGACAAACACACACTTATGTATGTATGTATGTATTCGTCGGACATGCCAAGTCATGTTTGCCCCTTTAGGCGCCATCGCATTCGGTGGATGCAGCCATAAAAATCTATTTAAATACCTACAATAAAAGCCAGCTAACCTACTTGTCTCTGTATCTTGTCTGTGTATCTGCCGCAGTCGCAGTTCATCCAAAGCTGCATGCAAAACAACAACAAGAACAACAATAGTAACGACAACAACAATGAATGAATAGTAATGGCAAGAAATAGAAAAGCGCTGCCAGCTTGTCAGCCATTTGTCAAAAGAGCCGCCGGAGACGACGACAAATGTTGAAGATGTCGTTGTTATTGTTGTTATTGTTGTTGTTACTATATATGTGCATATCTATGTACATATGTATGTATGGATAGTAGTTGTGTATATTGTAATTGTTGCTGAGTCAGCAAAGTGCATTACACACGCAGCCTGCAACATGCAACGCACACACGCACAACACACACAACTCGTTGACATTCAGCAATGTCAGTGTCTGTCTTTGTGACCATCTAACTGCCTGATTGTCTGACTGTCTGACTTGGGCGTCTGGTCGTCTGTTTGTGTGCTTGTCTTGTCTGTTTTTCTGTGTGCCTGCCAGTCAGCCACTATAGATCTATAGACGTGGGCCTTCAACGCACTTATTGTGCATACTTAGAAGTGCATTAGCAATGCGTTTGGCATGGAGCGGGGTAGGGGGCGTGCGTCTATCCTTCCTAGCCGCTTTTGGCTTGACTAAATGGAGCAAGGTCGTCAGCATCGTCGGCATTTGGTGCAAGTCGATATGCCGCCCCGGCGACGCCGACGCTTCTGCGTCCGTCTAATAGAATTTGGGTCAAGCGCATGTTTGTTTGCACTTGTGTTGTTGCTTCTAATATTGGAGATTGGGCACAAGGATGCACAAGCAACAGCAATAACAACAACAATAGAAGAAAAAGCAAAAAGCGAAATTGCATACAAAATGAAGGTCAGTGTGTGCATCAGCGAAACTAATAAACGAGACGAGACGAGTCGAGTCGATTCGAGTTGACGTTGACTCGGGTAGAGTCGAGTCGAGTCGTGTTGATTTGACGTCAAGTTGGCGTCGTCACCGCCTCAGTGTGTCAGTCAATCAGTCAGTCAATAGAGTTGTGCTGATTCTGATTCTGCAATGAATCAATGTGCTAGCAAACGTTCTTTTAAAACCACTTTCGAAAATTTCGTTACTTCTTAATGGAACAGAATAGTAACTGAAATTTAAAGAAAATGCAAAAAAGCAGACCACAATATCTTCTTAAGTTATGCAAATAATTTGTATACTAATTTGTAGAATTGTAGAATAAGAATTCTTTTTAAAATATAGTTTTATGCTTGTAGATCAACATAAATTTGTGTGCAAATTATTTGCATAACCTGACCTGAGCGCATCTTTAGTGCCCATTTGACATTAAACCTGAGTCAAGCAGCGATAAATTGCAAAATTATTATAACATTTAATGTAGAAAAAAGTATTTACTAATTTTCTTTAAAATGTTCTTTAAAATGAATTCAATTTGTGGATTAACGTAGACCTTTTTATCTGAAGTACAGTAGAAACTTATGATAATTTAAAAAGAAAATCGTTGCTTTTTTGGAGCTACTAAAAATTTCTTGCATAGCTATTGGAAGAATTTAAAAGCTTATATAAGTCTTGAATGACAAGGGTTTTGTCACAAGCAGGTTTTCTACCAAAAATGATCCAGTTTAGTTTCTTCTCTTTTTAACTCTAGAGTCTAGACGTTCAGGTACATAAATGCATATTTTAAAATAATAGTTTCGTAAAAAATAGACTGCTTTATACTCGTATATAATGTTTTACTAAAATAATAAAAAATAATAAAAATAAAAATAATAATAAAAATAATAATAATAAAAATAAAAATAATAAAAAATAATCGAACTTAGAAACATATAAATCTTGTGATCTAATTGAAACTAGTTTAAACAAATTCTGTCCGCACAAAGAATAAATCGCTGTAAGAAAATTTCCCCTAAAAATCATATATTTATTTCTAGCGGAAATATAAATGAATAAATGGTTTCGCATGAAAACGATTCTTTACATGTCGTTTGCCATTTTTCGATGGTGTGTAATATACGTATCAATTCATCATTTCATATACACCTAGCCCTCGCTTAACGCGGGGGTTACGTTCCTTCCATACAAAATGAGGGGTTACGTTCCTAGACTTTGAAAAATGCATACAACAATTTTTTAGTGTTTAAATTTATTAGTTTCAAAAACATCAAAAAGGTTTATTCAAATGGCAAAAGTTTTAGCGTTAGCGTTAAGCGAGGGCTAGGTGTATTCTAAATACACCTAATTCTGTTTTTACACGGTCTTTTTTTTACACGATTTTGATATAACACGGTTTAAAAATTAAGAATTTCATATGTATTTCTTGAGAGATAAGAAACCAATCACCATATGATTAATGTCTTTTTTTACACGGTTGTTGCCGGAACCAATCTACCGTGTAAAAACAGAATTAGATATATTCTAAAAATATAATAATCGTGCATTAGACATTTCTCGAACCAGTTCTGGCCGTTCAGCGACAACTCTGTCAAATAAATCAGTCGAACAGTCGCTTGCTCAGCCGCCTGTGTTCTTCGCTTGACTGTTCTGCTTCACTTGGCTTAATCGTCGCTTGCCACCACCGCCCACTGCAACTTTTTTTGCTGTCGCAGTCGCAGTCACAGTCTCAGTCGACGTTGTCATCGCCGTTGCCGTTGCCGTTGCCGCCACCGGTTGACATTGACACACATTGTTCTGTCTGTGTCGCCGTCTATGCTCGCCTCAAAGGACCTAAATGGGTCAATGTCAACGGCGCTTGTTGCTGTTGCAGTTTGAATATATAGAATATATGTATATGCAGTGAGGCCGCCGCTTGCCACAAATTGGGGCATGACATTGGCTGCGCATATTTGTTGTCGTAATGCATTACAAGGTTCTAATTTGTGCGAAGGTTGTGCGTCGACGTAAGCGTCGCTCGGCTCGGCTCGCCTCTGCGCTGCTCTGCTCTGCTCTGTTATGGCTCTGCTCTAATGCGCTTGCAATGCCGG